AATGCCCTCTAGGCTCAGATCCATGCCTTATACATTAATTTATACAATAAACTCATTTCTTCTTTGCTTTTTGACTAAAACATATTTCTGGGAAGTCAAGGCTTTGGAATTGTGTACTACAAGCGGGGAATGTGGGGAGGTAAATGCCACATTCTGAAAGCTCTTGAGGCGATCAGCCAGCTTTGTTCTGACCAGTCAGCCTTCTGCACCAGCTGGGCTCAACAAAATGACCACAGCAACCAATTCTGTGCATTTAGAGAGCTTAACAGGTGAAAATGAAATTTAATTTAAATAAATTGCATAGCATCATTTGCATAAACCTCATAACCAGTTCCAAGCAAGTAAATTGAGACAAGGTTCTGAAGATCGTAGCTTTAATTTTAAAACACCTATTTTCAATGAAGCCCGTTTCTTTGTATATTAACCAAAATTTTAATTTGAGAAGTTATTGTTGGGGCTGGAGAGCTGGCTCCATGATTTAGAGCACTTGCTGCTCCTGAAGACAACCTGGTTCGGTTCCCAGCACCCAGATATTCACAGGAGCTTTCTATTCAGGGAGCTGCCACCTGGCTCCCAGCTTGTTATTTCCTCCTCATTCACCATTTGGCTTTGTGTGCTTTCTCAAAATTCTAGATTTAGTGTAGTTCCTTCCCTGTGAGAGATTGGGTGACATTATAAAGATTGGAAATTTCTGCCAACTAGCATTGCTCTTAGCCTCTTATTTACGACAGAAACCCCGCGGCCTTTTCCTTTCGTGGTTGTTGGAGTGGCATGGGTGTCGGGGATCAGACCCGGAGCCTTGTACCTGCTCAGCACACATCCTAGCCCTGAGCCACACTCCCAGCCCATCTTCTAGTTCATTTGTTTGTTTTTCGTGCATGGTGTTTCGCCTGCAAGTCTGTCTGTGGGTGCACCACATGCATGTCTGATACCCAGAGGTCAGAAAAAGATTCGTTATAAATGGCTGTAAGCCACTATGTGTGTGTGTGTGTTGGGGGGGAATGAAAATCGAACCCAGGTCCTCTAGAAGAGCAGCTAGTATTCTTAACCATCTAGTATTCTGAGCCATCTCTCCAGCCAATTTTGTAGTATTTTCAACTCTTCCTTAAAAACAAAAACAAACACAAACAAACAAAACGTAGGTTAGAATAAGGGTACAACTTTTAAAAGAAAAGCTCATCTTAACTGAAGAAATTAAATTCTGAATTTTATATCAACTAGGGGGTGGCATTATTGGGTATTAAAGTTGTATATTTTTCACTTATGACTTAGAAAACGCCATGTACATGTGTATGTATGCATGTGATAGACATCTTTTATATGTATAAATTTATCAGTGACCCATAGAAAGAACTTTTAAGGTTTAAATGTTTGTGTGTGCCTGAATGAATTTATGTGCACCATGTGCATGCAGTGCCTGGGGAGGCCAGGAGAGGGCTTCTTCGGATGCCCCTCAGACTGAAGTTACAGAGGCTTAGGAAGTCTGGAATTGCTTTGTCATTCATTTGAAGGCATGCAGACTGCAGAACCATCTCCTCTGCCTGCAGAGAGCTTCTGATGATAGTCAGGTGTGGGACAGCACCTGGACCTGCTTGCAACACTACACCAGAGCGTTCCAGCTCCGCCCATCCTCCTCGGCACTTGGCCAGCAGTCCTGACAATTTCTTCTCGTCACTTCTTTTAAGATTATCCTCTCGGGGTGATTTTCCAGAAGTGTGTTCTCAAAGTGCTTTCATCACTCTCAGTATTCCTCGAGACAGTTTCCTAAATGCCCAAGGGTAGTCTCAGGGAACACCCTTCCCTGGGGAGACAATTAGGAGCATCACCCATCCTTAGCTTTCTGATCGCCTTCAGGAACAGAGATGCACCTCCTCGAAGAAAGAGCTAGATGCCTCCTGTCCAGTGTCACAAAGCTGGCAACTTGCTCTGCATGGGTGCTAGAGGGTTGCTTGTAGCATATACGGTATGCTACAAATATTTTATAATATATAGTTCAATTTGCTGTCACTCCGATAGGCTGGTGAAAGCCTTTTGGGACAAATGGGTTGACAGATTGAAACTTAGAAATTGTGCTATTTGAGACATTTCATTTCCTTTGAAACAGACTCACACCTAGTTTTTTTTACCAAGCCTTCATTGAATTCTGGTTCACTGCCAAACTTATATTATTGGCTCTCTTGGGACCTTAAAGTGGACAGGGTTGGCTTATGGCTGGTGCAAAAAGTATCCTGGGGAAAGCTGCAGAAGTAAGCCTGCTGCCTGCCCAGTGGTCAGAGGCAGCCCTGGAAGCCAGAAATTATCATAAGGACAGCCAGAATAGGGCCATAGAGTGAGGTGAGTGTCCTTGGACCATGGAGAGGGGAGGTTGGCTAAAGACTATATATTAAAAAGAAAACGATGAGGGGCTGGAGAGAAGGCTCAGCTGATTAAGGTGATTGCTGCCATACCTGGGATCGAGCTAAGTTTGATCCCATGACCTACTTGCTGGAAGTAGAAAACCAACTCTCACATGGTATCCTAACTTCTACATACACACTATGGCACACAGATGTGCATGCATATACACAAACACAATTAATTAAAATGTAACTTAAAAGTTTTAAAAGATGACCTGTGGCAGGTCAAAGGGTAACTTTGTCAGTGACTGCAATGCTCAGTTTGAGTGCTGTATTAAAAATGGGTGAGGTGGGCTGGGACACCTGGTAGAGTGCTTGCCTAGCATGCATGATGCCCTGGGTTCCATCCCCAGCACCAAATAAAACCAGGCATGGTGGCCCACACCTGTAATCCCGATACCCAGAAGGTAGAAGTATCAGAAGTTTAAGGTCATCCTCAGCAAGTTGGGGGCCAGGGTCAGCTACAGAAGACCCTGTCTCAAAAACGAATGAATGAATGAACTGGTGCAAGACCCTAGGTTCTAGCTTCAGGGGACCAAACATCTTCTTCTGTCCCCGGGGCACCTGCATACCCGCAGCACATGCACGCACAGGCACGCACACACTCCCTCAACTCTGTTAAGTGTCACCTCGCAACACTTTCAGCTTTCAGGGCACGCTCATGACGTGCTGTCACGAAGCTGCACTCTAGTGCCCCCCTGTGGGGACGGTTGGTTCCAAGAACCCCTTGCTATGGTGAAACCTGGCAAAGAAAGGAATCCTCTGACCCTGCACTGCCACCTTTTGTCCCATGTAGTCTCATCTAAAACACAGCAGGGTCATTTCCCTGGAGTGACTCCACTCTGCCTCCACCTCTCCTTTCCAGTCAGTCTACATTCCTGCCGTCTCCACTTACAGACGTGACAAAGGCCCCAAGGAGAAGCCTGCCGGAGCTTTGCACTGAATTCCCATTAATGGAAAATTTGGAGTTTGTGGTGTCCCCTCCTGGCTACAGTGGAATTAGGTCTGGCTTCCCTGCCTTACTGTGGGATCTTATACATATATGGAGAATGAATGGGACAATTTGGGCAGCTGCCATTAGCTTACAGCCACCTGAATTGAATGCTCTGGGCTAGTCTGAAAATATGCTTCGTTCCCTTTTTGCTGAGTTTAAAATTGTAGCTTAGGGTTGGGGGTGTAGCTTAGTTTTGGTTTTGCATGCTTTCTCAACACAGGCTATATTTAGTGTAACTCTTTCCCTGTGCAAGACTGGGATAGTACTGAGGATTTTAAACTCCTGCCAGAAAACCAGTTTTGCTTTCAGCCTCTTATTTATGCAGGGATTGCTGTGCAGGGTCCGGGTACCAGCCACAGCACTGCAGAAACTGGGTGCAGTGATACATGCCTGTAATACCAGCACCTGGAAGGTAGAGACAGAGGATCAAGATTTAAAGGATGCCAGGCAGTGGTGGCGCACGCCTTTAATCGCAGCCCTGAGGAGACAGAGGCAGGCGGGATCTCTGTGAGTTCCAGGCCAGCCTGGCCTACAGAGGGAGTTCCAGGACAGTCAGGGCTACACAGAGAGAGAAACCAACCAACCAACCAACCAACCAACCAAACAAACAAACAAACAAACAAACAAACAAAAATTTAAAGGTCATTCTTGGCTATATAGTAAGTTCAGGGCCAATCTGAGATATGTAAGACCTGCCTCAAAACACAACACAACACACTACTCAACCCTTTCAGATAGTCCACTGGTTTCTTTTATTGTTATGAAGTCACTATGGGTTTAACTGCTGCTGCTCTTCCAGAGCTGGGCTGACTTGTCTGGGTGCATGAGGTCCCCAGTGGCAGCCCCAGTACTGCAGGCTGTTGGAGAGGGAGGAAAGGCATCTGCCTGTCCTAGACTGTCTGCCTTTGCTTCCACCTTGAGCAGCTTTTCTAGACATGTTCAGAAAGAAGAACTGTGATTTGATAATCATCTGGAAATCCGTGAGGTTCTCTTAACACTGTCTATGTTCCTCTTCTCTTTCCAGACTCAACAGTTCTCTTACCTTTCCCCTAGTTCAACCTTTCACTCTAATTGCTTCAATTTATGTAATTTCTCCTGACTTACACATCTTGTTTTCTAAGCACCTTAAATCTGTACCTCTCTAGGCTGCTTCTTCGGAAGGGAACTGACCCTAGGCAGAAGTCCCCATAACGCCAGCCTCCCAGCTCTGCATTTTGTTCTGGATTTTGGTCACCGGTAAGAGACCAATTGGGTACTGTTTTAGGGAGCTGTTTCCTGTTCAGTTGAGAAGCTGTACTTCTTCCCAACAGGAAGGCCGTAACCAGCACACCTGCGCAGCTGTAGACAACAGGTGCAGGAAGCAGATGATTTTCCCACTGGGATGAGGCCAGACCATGCAGAACTGAATACAGTATCAAACAGGACATATGCAAAGAAAAACTTCATTTGCTCTTCACGAGCAAAGGTCATGCTTCATTTTTGGACAATGGTGATGAAGCTTTCACAGGAAAATAGGCTGGTACCTACTGTACGGTTGACATTTATTTTAAATAAAGAATATATTACGTCCTCACAGGGCTAGGTTTTAAAAAAGGCATCTAATAAATTTATACAGTGAATAGTATGTCTTTATTCTATTTACAGTAAATTTGTTATAAATATAATACATTTTTGAAAAGCTTATTTTTAACTTGAGTAGATTTATATTTTAAACAGATCAACTTAATTGTTAAAGTTATATAATAAAGAATATGATTTAATGACAAAAATCTTATTGTGAAATAGTGTGACAATAAGAGATGAGCGAGGGAATAAAGTCAAATTCCTTCCAAAACTATGTTCAAAGCATCAGAAAAGCTTTTCTTTTTACAGTTATGTATAAGCTATCGGGACACCAGACTGAAATACGAATGCCCGTAGCCAAAGTTCAAAACCGATCTTACAGAACTGCGTGAGGCAAGGCAAGAAAACCTGTAAAAACTGTATTAACACTCTAGACCTTCACAGTAAAGCTGGGATCTGCAGAATAATGGCTTAGCGGCAGGCAGTCTTGCCAGCAAGGCCTTTCCCTCTTCAAAATCATCTCCAAGAGTCACATCCCACTCCGCACGGTGCAACAGCAGACTTCGACGCTTTTCTTTTTAAGACACGGCTTAATGAAGTGTATGGATATGTTGAAATTCTGTATTATGAACATGTAAATTATTACCAGTTTTAAAAGAAAACAAAATGGAATTCTATTCTCAGCCCAGTGTACTGTGTGTCAACAAGTGCCAAGTCCCAGTACTTCGCAGTGATGAGAGAACTTCCGTAACAAGAGGGTATTTCAAACGCTGCTGACAAACTAATTCCAGAGTCAGGCTCCATCCGTGACTCTCAGCGGTCAGGCGTTATTGATGATAATCAGAGCAGGCATGGAGTTCTGCTGACTTGTTTCAAATACTGTAACCTGGTCCGATAACTTGGCGAATACCCTTGGAGTCCCAAGGTTATAAACACCTGTATGAACAAAGCATGCTTTCAGTTGCAAACTCTGCGTCTCTTCGCTTTTCAGCTGCAGTTTATACTGTGTCTGTCCAAGCCACGTGAATGATCCATGAGTCTCCAGTGCCTCTGGACTAAAAAAAGAAAGAAACACTAAGTTGTAAACTTTTTCTTTCACTTTTTTTTCCTCTAAAGTCTTACTAACATTTCTCCTTCATCAAATCCTTTTGTTTCTAGGAATTATTTATGAAATGAACTATTATTAATAATACTTATTACTATTTTCCAGGAACAATGATAAAAGTAGATTATTTCACTTAATGCCCATAATGGCATCTAGTCAACAATGGAACCTGATTTCAAACTGAGTTCTTAACCTCTTTATTATTCACATATAAAAATAATTGTATGTAAAAGAATGCCCATGATATTAAACTTTGTAAAACTCCAAAGTGGGAACAATCCAGTGCCCAACAACACAGCACAACTCAATGTTTGTGATACACAAACATACAGACTACATGCTTGGATTTTAATGCACATTTCTGGGATGTACATGAAAACATTCAGCATAGGCTTCATATGACTTTCTTTTGTGTTTTTGAAGATTTATTTACTCATCTTTATGTGTATGTGTACACCGTCTACACGTGTGTCACTGAACCACATGTGTACCAGGTACTTGCAGAGCCAGAAGAAGATATCAGATCCCTTGGAACTGGAGTTACAGATGGTTGTAAGCCACCACACAGGTGATGGGAACCAAACACAGATCCTGTACAAGAGCACCAAGTGCTCTTGACCACTGAACCTTTTTCCAGCCCAAGATTTATTTCCTAATACAAAAATGCCTAAGACAAACCTGCAGCTCTAAAAGTACTGGGTACTGCAGTATAATCTAAGACTCTTTTATTGTTATTTTCAAATCAGGGTGAAAGAAACCTTTGATATTTAATAGCTCTGTAACACTTCTCTGATACCATATAAATAAATCTAACAGTGCTTGAGTTAATTTTATCCATGTTAGGCAATGATTTGCATAATTTCCAAACACTGAACTGCTTTAAATAATACTAAACTTTGGGCTACAAAATAACCTCTCACAAAATAAATTCTTACCTTGTTGTTTTATGCCGGAGATCAACTATGACATCTACGTCAGCCTTAGAACAGTTAGAAAGTAAAAGGGTCACTGGTACTAGGCAAAGGCTGTGAACAGAGACAGACAAAATCGCTAGTCAAACACCTCCTTCATAGAAACTAGCTTCTTAATAACAACACAAGAACACTTAACAGAACACAAGCTCAAAATCAAATTCAAGTAAGGAAAACCTGAGTCACAAAATCATGCTAGGTACTTATTTTGTAAATAAAATACATTAATACAATCTCTCCATACTAAATATCAGAATGCATATTTTCTAGAAGGAATACTGTTAAGCAAAAGTATTGTCCCTGGATATAAATGTGGCTTAGGTTGTGCTGGCGTTATGCCCCTGAGAGCAGGTTTCCCGTCTGCAGCATCTCCTTTATTTAAATTACAAATGTGTAGTCACAAGCCCAAGTGAAACCCCAGGAACTTACACTCTTCTGGGCCCATCTAATCTTCCAATGCTAGATGACTCACACCTTACTGAAATGCTTCTAAAAGAAGAGATGCAGATTTCTGCAGACTGCCCTCACCCGTCCCACCGCCCATCTCATCCTCAGACCCAGCTGACATTATGGCCCACTGACTGTTAGACCTTTCTGGAGTATTTTATACATTAAAGTTATTTATCAAAAATATAAATAAATCATTCCCTATGATATTTAGTACTTAAAAATTCTCCAGGAAAAGTTGTCTCATCTTGCTGCCAAGTCTGACAGCCTGGGTTTGATACCTGGGCTCCACATGGTAGAAGGAGAGAACTAACTCCCAAAGAATGTCCTTTGACCTCCACATGAATGCCACAGAATGCATGTATGTGTGTGTGTGTGTGTGTGTGTGTGTGTGTGTGTGTGTGTGTGCAATATAAATAGATGTAAAAAAAAAATCTTACAGAATGACATAGTTTAAATCTGAGTCCCACTGTAAATCAGGCTATAGGTTTGATTTGCGTCTAAAACAAAACAATACAATTTTTCCCCCTGGTTTTTGACTTTATGAAAAACCTTACACTTCAAACAGACACCTCGGAAGTGTCTGGGGCAACATCCATCCTCACTCAGTAACACTGAAGGTGTGTGTGTATGCGTGCCCCACCCCCCCAATACACATACACTCGCAAATACTAATTATAGTAAAGGCTAAATCATTTAAGACCCAATATTATTTTAAATTTCTTTTGTTGTGTGGGTTAATGCTGTTACCAAAATAATGTTAATTTTTAAGAATGGGTGTCTGTACATGTACATAGAAAAATTTAACAAAAATAACCCTCATACCTTTTTTGATGAAATGGATGATGAAATGATTCTGGGTAGTGAAGACTTGTTTTAATGAGATTAGAAAGCTGTTCTACTGATGGTCTTGTGGAAACTGTAGTGTTTTCTGGCCTGAAAAACTTCAATAGTTCCATTTCTGGTGGCTCCTGAGAATAGACAATAAAGACTAATAATGAAATGATGCTTTATAAAACTTACAGTATACAAACTTTTTTAAAAAAACAGTGAAGACAACCTAAATCATGAAGACTATTTTTTTCTTTTTTGCTATTATTTAAACTAGCAGCTACTGCCACTTACAATATAATCAGGGATAAACATTAATTTCCTGTTTACCTAACGATTCTACACATTAGCTCAGTGATCTTAATTACTTTAATAATTTCCTTATATGTAAATTTAGGTTCCATAACCAATCACTTCAACAGTTGATGTGATTCTCATTAAATAAAACTGCTCAGTACTAAGGCTGTGGATATTCAATTATCCACAGCTGTTTTAACAGCTGAGGATCAAGAACTAACAAAAAAATTTCCATTTTGAAAATACAATCGTTTCATAGATTTAGTATTTCAAATATATTACTCAAAGCAAACACGTACTGGGGAGCTAGCTCAACTGGCCTAGTGATGGCCTGGCATGAACCGGCTCAAGCCCCAGCACCCTATAAACCAGGCACAGTGGCCCACTACAATCCCATGCTTTGTAATCTCAGCACTTGGGTGGTAGAAGCAAGAAAATCAGGAACTCAAGGCCAACCTCAGCTACACCCCAAACTTGAGGCCAGCCTGCGCTACTGAATAAGGCCCCTAAATTATTTTAAGTTTCTTAAAGGAGGAAAGGGAACAACAGCATAAAAATCACCTAATCCTGGTCATCAAGACAGCTCTACTTACTTCAAAGAGCATCGTTTAAACATTGCAGCCGATTCTACTGCATGTGCACAGTATTTACGAGGACCAAGGGAAAAAACAGCAACACTCTGTGACATGAGCACTTCACCCTGCATGCTTTCTGAAGCTGTGGGCACTTCACACTCTGGGACCACGAGGTCTTGCAGCTCACCTTGCAGACCTCCTCCCTCAGCCTTGGAATCAGTCGTTGTTCCTGGAACCCACTGTTCTTTTGGTTGGAAAATAATTGTTCCTACACTGACATGTCCATTGAAAATTGAAGAGCTATAACATGGACAGATTTCACAAACATGACCCTAGCCTAAAGGACCTAGATGACAATAAACCCCATAGGACATCTGCAGATTCCAAACAGCAGCTCTGCTTTTGACTTCTAAGACATACAAACAGTCCAGTTTACTCCAGAAAACGAAGAGCTGAGGAAAGGCAGGAGGAGCTTCTGGACAGTTGCCGGGATCTTTTTCTTAACCCCAGTCTTGGAATAGAATGTGTTTCGATTTGTAAGAACTCTGTACTTATGACTACCTTTAATTTTTAAAGTTTAAAAAATGCATTATTGGGGCTGGAGAGATGGCTCAGTGGTTAAGAGCACTGGATACTCTTCTAGAGGACCCAGTTCACAACCATTCATAACCCCATTTCCAGGACCCAATGCCTTCTTACCAAGTCTATGGGCACTGCATGCATAGACAGTCCATGGGCAACAAGCATGTACGTGGTCACATATATAGTTCTTGGGCACTGCATGCACATGGTGTTCATACATTGTCTATAGACACCAAGCATGCACACAGTGCACAGACATATGTGCAGGCAGAATGTTCACTTATAAAATAAAAAGAATTCATCTAGTTAAAAGTCTTAAAATCCATTATTAAAATATTTAAGTCATCTAAACAACATGACTTCTAAATTATACTGAATAAGGGCTAAAGGTATAGCTCAGTGGTAGAGTGTAGGTCTATCATGTGTGAGGCTCAGGGTTTAATCCTCATCATATAAATAACACCAGAAAATTTCTACATATCACCCGTCAGGAGAAAAGACATAAACAGTAGCCAAAGAAGGAAATTCAGACAAACTAGGCATGTAATGTATGCCTCTAACTCCATAACCAGAGGCCAATGCAGAGGCTGCACGTTGGAGACCAGCCAGAGCAACTAGACCCTCTCTTAAAATAGAGAAGATGGAGCAGAGGGGTGAGAGGCCTGGCGCAGAAAGGTCACAAGCACAGGGAAGCACAACGACACGCAGACACAAGGGTCCCAACAGCCTCCCAGCAACTGCCATTACCTGTTTCTGAGACTGTGAAAAGGCTTCTTTTCCAAGAGTGCGAACAACAACATGATGCTGGCCTTCTAAAATAAGCTGCTTGTTATCTTCTACAACGTATGCCTGAAAATGCAACCAACAGAAATGTCACCTTCCCCTCGTGGTAGAAACCTCAAAAGTAACCACCTTGTAACACCTAGTATCTATCAATTATCCACAATTCCGTGTCAGCATTTGAACCTTTATTACCTTTATTTATCCATTCAATCAAAAAACATCTACCTCTCCTTCTGAATCTGTTGCTTTTTTAATAAAACTCGACTGACCCAAGTATTTCAAAGAGATAAATCTTGATTTTTCCCCCTTGTTTTCTCTAGACTTTCAAACTTCAAAGAAGTGTGTGTGTGTGTGTGTGTGTGTGTGTGTGTGTGTGTGTGTGTG